TTTTTATTTTTCAGGCACAAAATTAGAGGAATTTATTATATGAATCCTAGTATAGAATGGATGGCTCTATTTATCATCCTAATTAGGATACTTGAAGGTTAAGGTGATGTTATTAATAATTATGCCAGGACACCAGGGATACATGGTTATGCTAGCATGGGAATTGGGGACGATATGGTAGATGGTGATTTCATTGTGCCTATACAATAGATGCATAAATTCTACCTAATTGGATAATTCTTACATAGACCAGGATTCTTGAGTTGAATATGTCGAAGACTAAAAGGCCAAATATGTAATGTCAAATATTAACTCAGTAAAGATACTTCTGTGGAATAAAGCACTTTGCTTCCTCATTCTTTAGCTTCATACAGATAGAATTTAAAGACTGTGGAAGTATTTGTCATCAACAAATCCAGTAGTATATCTTTCTCAAAAAAAAATGAGTGAAGGGTCAATTTACTGTATATAAATTATACCTCAATAAATATGATTTATAAAAAAGAACAAAAACTCTAAATGATTAGAGTTTTAAATAGCTGAAAGGCTGCTTCCTGATCATCTAGTTCTCAGACATTGTTATGTTCTAAAACTTAGGGAAGAATTAATACCATTCTTACACAAAATTCTGTCAGAAACAGAGTGAGAGAGAACACTAACATACCTGTTTTATAAGGCCAGCGTATAACTCTGTGCCAAAATATGTCAAACATAACAAAAAAAAGTTACAGGCCAATATCCCTCATGAAATACTTTCCAAAAAAGTAAAAATAAGAGCAGGAAATTGAATCCAGCAAAATAAAGGAAAACTACATCTTGACCCAGTTATGCGAGATTGGTTCAGCATTTGAAAATCAGTGAAATTTACTGTATTAACATAACAAAAGAGAAAATAAAATGATCATTGCAATGATTTTATAAATTCAATACACATACAAGATAAAAGTACTCAGCAAAGTAATAATAGAGAGAAACTTCCTCAACCTAATGAAGGACATCTATGGAAAATCTACATTGTACTTAATGGTAAAAGACTGAATGTTTGATTCCTAAGATCCGGAAGAAGATGAAGATGTCCTTCCTCTTTCACCACTTGTATTCACCATTGTATTGCAGTACAAGTACAATACTGGAGTCAGTGCAGGAGGGCAAGGGAAAAAAGGCATACAGGTCAGAAGAAGTAAAACTATAACATTCTCAGACAACATGGTTATACATGTAGAAAATCCTAAGGAATATTTTAAAAGGCAGCTAAAACTAATATGTAAATTTACTAAAGACATAGCATAAAGGTCAATATAAAAAATTGATTGCATTTCCGTGTACTAACCACAAACAGCTGGAAAATGAAATTTTAAAAATACCACGTTGGCATTGTGTAGCGGCTCATGCCTATAATCACAGCACTTTGGGAGTCTGAGGTGAGAGGATTGCTTGAGGCTAGGAATTTGAGATCAGCTTGGGCTACATAGCAAGATCCATCTCTACAAAAAAAGAAAAAAGAAAAATTAGCCAGGTGTGGTAAGGTATACCTTAGTCCCAGCTACTCGGGAAGCTAATGCAGGGAAGCTAAAGCTATAGCAGTAGTTATAATCGTGCCACTGCATGCAAGCCTGGGCAACAGAGTAGACCCTGTCTAAAAAAAACACCAAAAACTGAAAAAACAAAAAACCCCACATTTCTAATAGCGTGAAAATATAAAATGTTTAGGGGAAAATTTTTAAAAAGACGTGCAAGATCTCTATACTAAGAACTATAAAGTATTACTAAGAGAAATTAAAGAGGATCTCAATAAATGGAAAGAAATATACCACGGTCATGACTGATAGACTATATTGTGAAGATGTCATCCTCCAAATTTATTTATAGATTCAACACAATCCCAGTCAAAATCACAATAGGCATTTTTTGGAAGAAATTAAAAAGTTTCTAAAATTTACATAGAAATAAAAGGAGCCTAGAATAGTCTAAACTATTTTGAAAATGCATAAAATTGAAGGATGTAGACTACTTGGTTTTTAAAATTTTTTATTTCAAAGTGGATCACAGACCTAATTATAAATGCTGAAAGTTAAAGACTTCTAAAAGAAAACATAGGAAAAAATGTTCATGACCCCAAAACAGGACACATGTTCACACAAATATGAACTATAAAAGAAAAAAAAACTATTGATTTGAATTTCATCAGAATTTAAATCTGCTGCTTGAAAGACAGATTTCAGAAAATGAAAATGCAAATCACAGGCAGGGAGAAAATATTTGCAGTATATACATCTGACAGTGGACTTAGTGATGGTCCGGGTGTTTATGTCCCCTCAAAATTCATGTGTTGAAACCCTAACCTCCAAGGTGATAATATTAAGAGGTAAGGGTTTGGGAGGTGATTAGATAATGAGGGCAGAGCCCTCGTGAGTAGATTAGTGCCCTTATAAAAGAGGCCCAGTGGAGGTCGTTTGCCCCTTTCGCCATGGGAGGACATGCTGAGAAGTGCCATTTCTGTGAGCCAGGAAGTGGGCCCTCATCAGACACCAAGTCTGCTGGTGCCTTGATCTTGAACTTCCCAGCCTCCAGAACCGTGAGAAACTTCTGTTGTTTATCAGCTACCCAGTCTGTGGTATTCTGTAACAGCATCCTGAACAGACAGACTTGTAAACAGAATATATGAAGAACTCCCATGATTCAACAATAATCAGGCAAACAACCCTGCTACACAATTGGGCAAGAAATTGAGCAACCACAAAAGAATATGTATCAATTGCCTAAAAGCACATGAAAATATGTTCTATCTTATTAACTGTCAGGGAAATGGAAGTCAAAACCACAGGAATGAATAGAAGGAAAAAGACTGACAGTGTCAAGTATTATATTAACAAGGATGTGAAACGATGGGTATTTCATACATTGCTGGTAGGGGTGTAATAATTGTATAACAGTTGGTAAAACACTTTGGCAATTTCCTATAAGTTAAACATATACTTACCATTTAAACCTTGAACCTCCAATCCTAGGTATTTACTCAAGGAAAATGAAAACCTATATCCACAAAAAGCCTTTTGTATATGTGTGTGTATATATGTGTGTATGTGCATATGTGTGCGTGTGCGTATATCACACACACACAAGCTTTATTCACACTAGCTAAAAACTGGAAACAGGAGAATGGATAAACAAAGTGTAGTATATTCATACTATAGAATACTCAGCCACGAAAAGAAATGAACTACTGATACACACAACATGGAAGAATCTCAGAAAAATTATGCTGAGTAAAAGAAGCCAGATATGAAAGAGTACATACTGTAAGATTCCATTCATGGAAAATTAAAAAAATACAAAACTAATACATTGTGATAAAAATCAGATCACTGGTTGCCAAGAGTGAAGATGTTTGCAAAGAGGCGTGAAAACATTCTGGAGTGATGAAAATATTCTGTAATAGTGAGGTTACATAAATGCCCTAACTCAGGGAATTGTGCAATTAAAATTTCACTAAATGTAAGCCATACATCAATAAAGTTTATTTTTTAAGTAAAAAAAGAATTCTAGACCCTGCAGTCTGACTACTTTGTCATATGGGAGATACCACACTTACCCTCTCTATGGTAAGCCTTTCTCGTTATTTTTGATAAACTTTGCCCTGGTCAGAGATAATTTTTATTACACTCACAAAATCACAATGCATTGTATTAAGCAAATTAAGTGGAAATCTCATTAAATGAGGCACAGCACCTACATGGGATATAGGGGATGGGCTACATATCCTGGATTCCAGTAATACACTTTGGGATGTTTGTCTTTTAAAAATAAACGTAGCAGTACCTGAATTTTTTTTTTTAACTCTAAATTAGGGTCAGTGAACTCTGGCCCAGGAAGCCTTTTTTTTGTACTGCCCTTGATGTAAGAATGGTTTTTACATTTTAAGAGATTGTTTTTTTAAAAAAGCAACTGATACCATAAGCATCCCTTAAAGCCTAGAATATTTTCTGTCTGGACTTTTACAGAAGAAGCTTTCTAACTCCTATTCTTTACTCTTTAATCAGCACACTTCGCCTCCTGTGACTCATTCAGCTTCTTCAAAACTAATACGATGGCTTTTTTTTTTATATTATAATCCCAGATGTTTGAAGTACTATTTAGTATATATTAAGTATACAACCTTATTTCCTTAATTGTCTGAAGATAAAGAGGTGAGTGTTAAGTTGAATGGTGCGATAGTTACTTCCCAGTGAGCGCCGTATTTCCTAGGGATGAGGCTTGCTGGCTGTATTCCAGCTGGCCTGGTTAGAGTGATGTTAAGGACGTGGAATATGCTTGCACCATTTCAGGACTGGGATTTAAAAACAACAACAACAAGAAAAGATGTGGAATAGCCAGAGCACCTATAACAGCAGGCATGTATGTGACATGAGGCTCTCTCTTAGCCATTCTGCAAAAAGCTCAGGGCAATGCTAAGTTTTTCAGGTTTACCTTAGTCGTATAGATGGAAGGAACCATTTTTACTCTGCAGCCACGTGGGAACTATGAGAGTAGTTTAGAAGGTCTTTGAGAACTTCTGGAGGTTCTAGAGGGTAATTTTTTTGTGTGTATCGGAATAGAAGAGCTACACTACACTCTCAGCAGCTTCCAGATTTCTCCTTCATAGTGCCTTTGAACTCCCACATCAACCTTAAATCCTTCTTACTCTTCCTCATCCTTGTGGTCTCATACACCGGACCTCAAACCATAATGGAGCTTTTAAAATTAACTTAGGTGCTCTGAGAATTTCTTTATTTCAGAATTCTTAAGATCAACCTGGGATAAAGGGACATCTGGAACTGCTTTGGAACATGCACAGTCTCTCTGGGGATCCCACGGTGCTAATGGCACACACATTCAAGTTGAAAGATTGGTGCAATTGTGGTGGACATCCCAGGGACAGGGACAAGCAGCAGGCTGGTGTGAGCTAACACTTAACATCTGTGAATGTTTACAGTATCTCTTTCCCTTCATCTTTTCCCTAGGCCTACTCTGTGTATGATGAAGACATTGGCTACTGTCAGGGCCAGTCTTTTCTTGCTGCGGTGTTGCTGCTGCATGTAAGTATTTTCCATGTGATAAATAGCACAGTGCTGCCCGGTTTATTTTCTCCTGGCTTTGCTTTTCCTTCTTCCTTCCCCTTCACATAGTATATCTTTTTAAACATGTACTTTTGGCGATAAAGTAAGAGATCTGATGTGAAGAATAGGACAGTTTCTCAATAGAACTAATTGTTCTGGCTAGAAGAGAATAAATATTTACTTGGAGTTATTTTTAACCAGAACCCTTTAGAGTTAAAGAATTCAATGTGATTGCCCAAAATTCAGGACCTGGACCATTATGAACCAATATACTGTAGCCAGGAAATCTTTTATCATGTCCGTGATTTATTTTTTTATACTCTTTCCCTTCAGACACCTTCATTTAGCAGAACATTTATTGAGCATCGTTTGCCAGGTAGTGGGCTAGGAAGTAGGATTACAAAGGTGAATCATTTATAATTTATGATCTCAAAGACCTCATAGTCCAGGATGGGGCACAGATTATATAGGCACATACTTACTATTTTTATTCTCTTTTGTATGTCTTTATTTTTCTGGTGACAAAAACAATACATGCTCATTAAAGAATTTAAAGTGAAAGTGATCCATAGGGTAAGAGACTAGAGATGAGAATCTCCCAAGCCAGCTATGCCAGAACTTTCAGGATAGACTTTCTGGAGGAGGTGGGTTGCCAAACCCAAAGAAAATGCTTTAGTTTTAAACTTGCTGGGCCTCTCCGCTGCATTTGGGTTTGGCATTCTGGAAATGAACAGCAATTGTAGTAAATTCATGGTATAAATCGGATAACCTGATTCTGATGGTAATAGTGATACACAATGGTTCTATTGTGATTATTCACTTTATCTCACCTTGAGGTTGATTTCTTCCTCTGTTGCATTGTCATCTGTTTACAATCTCATCTATCTCTCCTTATTTTCCTTCTTTCTTTGATATCTCCGTATCCCATCTTTTGGGGACTTTCTCAGATGATCAAAGCGTAGATTCTCAGGGGCCCTTGTTCCACCACTAAATTCAGCTAGTATCTAGAATAGTCAGGTGCCTGATTCAAGAGACTGGCCATCATAAGCAGTGACATAGGTGTGTTCATCAAGGTTTTGAGCCATCTCTGTAAAGGAAGCCTTTATGATCACTTTGATGAGAAGCTGATGTTCAAACCGTAGGTGGTGAAGCTTTGTTTTGAACAAAGTAATCTTTGAATATACCACAGTTGAGCAATTTTTACCTGTAGCCTTATTTAACATATTATAATATATTGATTAAAGTTCAGTAAGAAGAATATCTCTCTGAGAAATATGTTCTAAGATTTAACAAAGGTTTAGTTTAATTGTAAGTTCATAATTATTTGGAAACACCCTCTCCACCCACACTCCCAGAGAGAGAGAGATTGATTCAAATAACTAGAAAGGCCAAATACCCAGAATTTTTTTCTGCATTATCTGCTCTGCCATTATAAGGACCACATGGCAAGTCAGCCTTTGTTAACTGATTCAATAAAATAGATTCTAAAGTATGTCACGAGATGGACGGAAATTCAGTCCAGTCTCTCACACTTTTTATATTAATAGAATTATGCAGTGTTTCCATGGCTTATAAAGATAACTTGAAATATAGAAATGCTTTCAGAATCCTTAAGGAAAAATTAACTGATATTCAATACAGTGTTAATGAAAAACATATTTTAATTTTTAATTAGCAGTATATGTGATAATTCTGTTAATCAGCATATTCCATTAACTGACAAACCCATCCATCAACCACTTTGAATAACAGAAGTTATCTGTAATTTTTTTTAACCATATTTTTGCCTCCATAGTTTAAACAGGTAGAAGAATACAGACTGGCTTAAACAATTCATCAAAGACACTATCTCAGGTTCCAGGGAGATACGTTATTAGGGTCTTACTGACTAATTTTTTATCAGTTACATAAGCTATTGCTTCTTTCGCTGCCAGACATCCTTTGGCAGCTCCATATTAATCATTGTCAGAGGCTGCTGCTTTTTGGGATGCTGTCCTTTCCTCACCCATGGTCGTTTATATTTCACATTCATTGCCTAAGAGGAAAGGAAAACTAAAAATGAAAGTATGTTTGAAAACAAAGTTTTGAATTTTTAGGTTTTGCCATGTCTAAGTAGTTTTAAGAAATAATTAGCCTCTCCTTGTGCTTGGAGATTTCTAGATGCTTTGACAGTAGCTTTGTAACATATAGTAGTTTAAGCAATGGAAGAATTAATTGCTTATCATGATAGATACTGTTATATCCATTTATGAAATTAGAAATTTGTAATTTACAGTTAGAGAATAAATGTTATAGTACAGATTACTTGCAACCATAATAATGTTCAGCTGCCTTTGAAATTAAATATGCAATAATAATTCTTAATATCATTAGAATATTAGTCTTTACTTAATTGGAGGTTTAATAAATAATGCCCTATTTTATATATTTCACTTATTCTAAAAATCATGTAAAGTATTTTAGATAATTTTTAACCCAATATATTTTTCTATCATATTTATTGTCAAGTAGTTTTAAGTTTTTTTATTGAATATGTACCTTTTTAGACATTCAGAAAATTATGCTCATTTTTAAGGTTGAATTATTATATGTATACTAATATTGGCCTATGTAGAAGCTTTACCACTGCAGAAAGGATTATTACTGAATAATCTAGAATGTTTAAAACTATTTAATTTTCTTGGCCAGGCATGGTGGCTCACACATATAATCCTAGCATTCTGGGAGGCCAAGGCGGGAGGATTGCTTGAGGTCAGGAGTTCGAGACCAGCCTGAGCAAGAGCGAGACCCCCGTCTCTACTAAAAATAGAAATAATTAGCCAGGAACTACTAAAAGTAGAAAACATTAGCTGGGCATGGTGGTACTACTCAGGAGCCTGAGGCAGGAGGATTGCTTGAGCTCAGGAGTTGGAGGTTGCTGTGAGCTAGGCCGATACCATGGTACTCTAGCCTGGGCAACAGAGCGAGACTCTGTCTCAAAAAAAAAAAAAAAAGATATTGAATTGTCTAAAAAACTATGACAAGGCACAACTCCTTTAGAAATCAGTTTGGCTTTATCTGATAAAGATATACATACCCATAAATTCCAATCCTAGATATATACCTTAGTCAAATTTATGCACACGTTCACCAAAATACATGTATTAGAATTGTCCTAGGGTCAGTGTTTATGATAGTCAAAACATTGAAACAACTCAAATGTCCACTAGTAAAATGCCTAATATTAGAATTACAATTGGACATTAAAATGGCTAAATTGTGGTGTATTCATATAGTAGAAATGCTAGTGGAAATGAATTGAATGTTTTACACTACATTGGTTAATACGAATGAATCACATAAAAATAAGATTTAGGAAAAAAAGCAAAGTACAAGATTGGATTTGGTATGATTCTACTTTGTATAAGTTTTAATAACAGGCAAAAAGAAACTCTATTTTTAGTATGCACACAGATAGAAAAACTATAAAGAACACCAATGAAGTGATAACTATTAAGGTCAGGATAGTGATTGGGGAGAAATTTGGGGTTAAGACTGAAAAGACACACAAAGGGACCTTCAGGGTATGACAGTATTCTCTTTCTTAACCTGGGTGGTGGTTACATGAGTCTTTTGTAATTATTTGTTTTTATTTTATAATTGATTACTTATTAATGTGTGCATTTAACTTTTATGCATTTTTCTGTGTGTTGTGTTTCAGAATAAAAATATTTTAAAATTATAGATCCTTTAGTATACCTCCCCAAAAAGACAGGTTTAGGATAAGATTTAGCCAATGGATGTAAGAAATGAGAAGCAGAGCTAATTACTAGTTTTCTTGAAAATAAAGATTCTACAGAATCCAAGGTGACAGGTAGAGGCTTTATGTGTGTATACATAAGTAAAATATTTGTGACATTATTTTATTCAGGGACTCTTTCTGCTACAGGTGACAGAACTCTAACTCAAAGTAGCTTAAATTAAAAAGGAAATTTATTGGCTCATGTAACTGAGAAATCTAGGACAGAGATGATTTTGACATGGTTGCATTCCAGAGTTCATATTTTGTCATCAGGAATCTATGTTTGTATCTCCGTTCTTCGTGAGTTTTATTGCCTTAGTTATGTGGATAGGCTGTAAAGTGGGCACAATGGCTGCTGGCTGGCTGGGATTCATATCCTTTCAGTTTTATAGCTTTATTGACTATCTTTTGCTATAGCTCTTGCATTAACTCCAACAAGAACAACAACAAAAACCCGTTCCCTTTCTTTTTCTTCCTGTTGCATCATGTACTTACTGCAAGAGTTTCAGTGTATTTTTTAATAAGTCCTTTTATACTTCCAAATCACTTTTCCTTACTGTTCAAGAGAAAGAAGCATTCTATTTCCTATTTAGATAATTCTTGCATCAAGTGCTTTTAGCAATTTCCCAACATTTCTCTGTGTCCTATAATATACTCAAGATATTTTACCTTTAAAAAAAATCCTCTCTTAATCCTCCTGTTTAGCTACTATCTTATGTTTCTCTGCCCTTTAGAAGCTGCTTCAAAGAATTGTAAAAAGCACAACTATGAATTTGAATTGTGGTTTAATAGTTTTCAAGTTACATGACCTTGGGCAAGTTTCTTAAATTGAGCTTTAGTTTCTTCATTTATAAAATAGAAATAATATTATCATCCTTCTAACGTTATTATCAGTACTGAGTCCCTTATGTTATGAGTGTGAAGAGTCTGATTTATCTCATACCTGGTACAAAAAGAATGTAGTCATGAGATTAAATCCAGGCTTTACTTAATAGACCTGTAATTACGGACAAATCATTTAACTTCTCTGAACTTCACTAGTCTAATATTTAAAATGTAAAAATAATACCTACCTTACAGGATTTTTGTGAGAATCAAATGGGGTCATGAATGAATATGTCTAGTAATGGTAGCTACTACTGTTATTTCTAAAATTAATAGTTACTTGCCTAGCCAATTTTCTTTTGGCCCCTGGTCC